CATCCAAATAAAGACAAGTGAACAAGCTTTAAGACGGTACCAATAACTCTACATGTCCAAAAATTGACGGGAGCCTGATTCCACCACGCTGCCTCACTGGAATTGAGGAGAGAAAGGAACAAAAAGAAAGCTATAGTCGATATCAGGACAACGAAAGTTGGTATTATAAACTGTTTCTCACGTTGTAAAACGTTCACTTAACCTAAACGTAAGGTAGCTTAATTTTCTGATTTCTCTTTTGCAGTTCTTTTCCTTGAAATTTCTTTAGTTTAGTTTTAGTAGAGGTTTTACGGCGCTCGCAACTGCATAAGGTCATATGAGCACCAGAAGAATAGAGGCGTAACAAGAGAGTAACAAACATAAAAAAGAAGTAGGGGAGATAAGGAAGATAGATGTTCGATAGGAAAAAAGAAGCCAACCACACCAGAGCACCCGCCAACCACATAGACATAAAACCTATTTTTCACATTACAAATATTTGAAACCTCTATAAATCTTTAGAAACTAGGGATTCTGAAAAAAATAATGTGTCCTTCACTCCCTTGGTTTTCTTCGGCCAACGCTCAAATATACCAGAATATTCTACAAAATACTATATATATAGTGCTACATCTATCGAGTTCACGTATTACTTACTTGAATTACTTGAATGTAGAACTGGGGTCACAGGAAGACGCAGAGCTTCATGCTTCCTCGCCCCTCTTCGTGAGGGTCCATTTCAGTGTTGGCAGGCTGATTGTCTCCATCATCCGCAGCTAATTTCTTTACAAGGGTCGTGTAAACGCTTTCTCAACAGTTTTATTACATGTAATGCAATGAATAGTGACTATTTTTCGGAGATTGGGTTGAACAGTATATTAAGGGACACAACTGCTGCATTGACTATGTTTAATGTTATTTTAAACTGAGTTGCTAAACTTGTATTATTTCGACATCTTCAGAATAGAAGTTTAAAAATTACTGAGAGCGAGCGTACCGGATGTTGACACTTTCACAATTTGCAATTTCACAGTGCGCAGCGCTTTGTAAGAGTCAGAGGAAGAAAAAGTTGTAATTTCTGGCTAACAATGAATGCCCCGTCGACGTTTGAGTCATTCCTTCTGTTTGAAGGGGAGAAAAAGTAAGTTTCAAACTCAAGTCATCTCGTATTTGTTTAAAATTCTTGATCCTTTCTGTCGTCATCACCGTTTTCACTTACTACAGTCACAGTGTAGCTGAGTGAGTGAGCTACTTTCACTTCCACCACATGTCCAATCTGTAGATATTCTATTATTTTCCTGTGTCTATGCGTTCGACCCTTAGATTTAGATAGAAGTATGCTCACAGCCTTGATAATCGCTCAGCTGGACCGCGTCACTTTATCGATCAGTAAAATTGAAGATTAGCAGACCACCTGCAGAGAATACTTGGCGCTAAAAATAGTAAAAATTGTCACAAACTAGATTTGTAATTTGTGACTTTAGCACCACCACCCCCCCCCCCTAATCTACACCCCCCCCCCCCCTTCTTTCTAAAGGACGAGTAGATCTAGATCTAGAATCTAGATTTAGATTCCAGTGGTGGTCTGCTAATGTTCAAAGAAGCCAAAAAGTGTCCTCAATATTCATTGGACAAGGTGCCTTCTTCGAAAAAGTGCGGACTTTGCGATCAGATTATCCTACTTAGATCTAGTTTGTAATGTGTAATAAAAGTGAAACTAACAAACTCACACTGTGCTATTCCTATTCTTCTTCTGGTGAAATGAAAGAGAGCTTCAAAGTCAAAACAACAAAGACTGACTGCAGCGTCATCTGAACCAATGAGCGGGCTTCCGCAGACACCTTTTTGGCTGAGCGAACTATATCTAATATATCTAGATCTAGATCTAGAATCTAGATCTAATATCGTAAAAAAGTGCAAATCCTCGTCAGGGCAGAACCCCTCTAGATCTAGATCTAGATCTAAATCTAGATCTAGATCTAGACTAAATTGTTATTAACTATCTTTGGGGAAGAGACGCTCTACGTGAGTCAAATATTTTAAAGGAAGAGGCTAGCCGTACTTAATGACGGCTAGACTGGCAGTCTAGCCGTATTTATTCTTAATATGATGGCTAGACTGACCATTTAACAAAAAATAGGCCTACTGAATTGTAAATATACTTTTTTAGTGTGCAGTTCCTAAAGTATTTGTATTTGAGACGAAACCAGGTGCCTAAATGACAGTGCATGTATTTTAAACCTCCTGTTTTCTAATGTTAATAGGGCCTAAGATAAGTACGGCTAGACTGTCAGGCTAGCCGTACTTAACTTAATATTGATGGCTAAATTGTAAATGAAATTTTTAGTTTGCAATGCCTAAAGTATTTGTATTTCAGACAAAACAAAAAGGTGCCTTACTGACTTACATGTATTTGAATCTGAATAATTACTAGATCTAGATCTAATGAGACCTGTGTACTTAACAGGCTTGAGTCGATAGGGCCAAACCTAGACTAAGTACGGCTAGACTTGCAGTCTAGCCGTACTTTTAAGTACGGCTAGACTCTCAGTCTAGCCGTACTAAGTACGGCTAGCCACTTCGTATTTTAAATTCCTTTCAGGAAATCTTTTATAATCTCACAATAATGGCAGCCTTGATATTTTTTTGAAAACAAGTTAACTGTGATGGTTTTAGTGACCATCTGGTCTGAAGTAAAAAATATGGCCATTTAGTCTCACTCCTGTCCTGTATTTTTATTCCAGTCAGTGCGTGCGCGCCGTATATTTTTCTACTTTTTTTTCAAAACCTGTTTACATCCCTGTTTTGCACTTTCCTGCATTATTTTCTCACTGAGGACCCCCCCCCCCCCCCCCCCAGTGCCCCTGACTGAATTCAAAGTGTCTTAGGCCATTCTCATTCCCAAAGGGGGGACATTTCTCGTTCTAGTGCTCAGTAGCATTGTAAATGGCCTGATCTAACAATGTCATTTTCATAAATGTGCCTGAACTACAGCAGGAAAATGCTGCTTTTTCTTTCTTAATCCTTGCTATCGTCATTTTTCCTCTCTACTTCTTTTGGATGTTTGTCACACTCTTGTGACCCGCTATTTCCGGGATGCTTTGATGGTCGAAGCCAACTTTGTGCTTTTGAAGCTAGAGAGGTGAGCAGAGTAAGTCTGATTCCCTGTAAGGACTTCTCTGTTGACATTATCTACCCCTTCGTGCTCTTATTATGACTTATACTTATAGTTCCGTATGTATGCTGTTGCGAGCACCGTAAAACCTCTACAAAAACTAAAAAACACACTGAGGTTGGAAAATGAAAATAGTAGTGCGTGGGTTGGAGCTTTATAATAACATTAAAACTGTTCTATTTTTTTGCGTCATGTACCTTAGAATATCACAGTGTGAGTTATACTGGCGATAATGGGAGCCTGCGGGCTAATCTAAATCTTTGCCTTACTCTCTTCATTTCAGCAGAATTTTTTTTTCTCACTGTTTATTTTAGTCGGTCTATTCTTTCAAAGGGAAACGTCTCGAGGGTGCTCTCTTCTTAGTAACCAATCTTTCTTGTAGTGTAGGTGCTCTGGTGTGGTTTGCTTCTTCTTTCCTATCAAACATCTATGGTCCTTCTCTCCCCTTCTTCCTTTTTTGTTACTCTCTTGTAACACCTGTAATCTTCTGGTACTCATACCTTATGCAGTTGCAAGCGTCGTAAAACCTCTACTAAAAGTTTAAAAAAAAGAAAGGCCTACATAGTTACTAACTTGTGAAAATGCGCGAAATGGCCCTCTTCTCTTTCATTTCACAGAACTACCATAATATTAAATAACTTGACAAAAAAGCAAAAAGTGAAAATATGAAATGATACTGATTTTAAAAGTTTTTCTATTGTTCTTTTGCAGTACTTTATGCTTTTGTCTTGGAAAAAAACAAACAATGTTGCATCTGTTTTACCCCAATTTAGGTAAAAAGAAATGCCAACACTTGCCTTGTTTCTCACCAAGTAAAATTTGCCTCACACTGCTTATCAAATGTTAAAATTCTTTGGTAAAAACCTTACTTCAAGACATCCTACTTTTTGTTCTTTTTTCTTGTAACTGATTTAAAAGTAACCTTCTTCTTTGCCATTTATTGATATTTTCTTTTCCTTCAGGATTTCCATTGAGAAAGACACAAAAGTACCCAACGCTGCAATCTTCACAGTGAACAAGGAAGACCACACTTTGGGAAACCTCATTACCACGTGAGATTTTTTATGTCCTAGTTCTCTTCAGGGATATAATTATTTCAGATTTCATCAAGTACTTGGGGTGGGGGGGGGGGGGGGGGAAGACAGTGATTATTTTATAATCATCGTAATAATAATATATGTGAGGCAGCGTGGTGGAATCAGGCTCTCGTCAATTTTTGGGCATGTAGAGTTATTGGTATCAACTTAAAGCTTGTTTAATTGTTTTTATTTGGATGAAAAAATATCCATTTATCTTGAATACAAGTCGAGATATTTGCAAATGAAGGAGGTGGGGGTCACCTGTTTTCAGAGGTAAAATTAGTGAGAAAATGACAGCCAAAGATTAGTTATTACCTTATCTTTATAGTCCGTGGTAACTGAAAATTTACTTTGTTTGTGCATTTAAACAACATTTTTCAGAAAAATACACACAGAAATGAGTATTTTAATGGGCGAGAAAGATGTTGAGCCAAAAAACAAAAATTTGATAAAAATTAACAAACCTGTGGAAAAATGCAAGTTTCTTCACTTTGATTGATTATTTTGACGAGAGCCTGAGTCCACCACGCTGCCTCGCTTAATATTATATTTATAGCATATTTGTGCACAAGGTCACACCCAACAGCAAGCTCTATGCACTTCACAATCTATGTACTATTACCCCAGTAGACTTGACCTGACAGCATTCTGAAACAATCTCAACTTTCTGGGGAGCATACAGTTCAAGCTGCCATTTTATAAGCACTAAAACACTAACAGACTGACAAGGTCTTTCGCTGTCTATGGCCAGGTACCCATTCCCACCTGGCTGAAGTGAGGACAATTTGTGTAAAGTGCCTTTCTCAAGGACACAACTTCGGGCCTGAGGCTCGAACCCTCAAAATCGCAACTTCATGATTACGATTCTGGTAGCCTAACCTATAGACTACCGGCGCTATGCCTATATCTTTACTCTTTACTTTCCCTATGTTGTTTCTGTCTGTCTGTCTTGCTTTTTCCCAGCACAAAATGACCAATCCCGCAGGACAGTGCCACTGACTGAAGTGTCTTTAGGCCATTCCCAAAGGGGGGACATTTCTCGTTCAAGCATAGAATTGTAAATGGGCTGATTCATGTCATGCTCATAACTGTGCCTAATCTACAACAGGGAACTGCTGCCTTTTCTTTCCTGATCCTTGCTATTGTCATTTTCCTCTACTTCTTTTGTATGTTTGTCACTCCCGTGTGACCTGCTATTTTGGGGTGCCTTGATAGTCGAAGCAGACCTTGTGCTGTTGAAGCTAGAGAGGTGAGCAGTCTAAGTCTGATTCCCTGTAAAGAATTCTCTGTTGACACCCACCCCTTGGCGCTCATATGACCTTATGCAGTTGCGAGCGCCGTAAAACCCTCTACTATTTTTTTTAAAAATTATTAATCAAAATGACCATTACTGTGTGGCTGTGCTTCTCTTCAAGGAGCTGGGAAGGATGGCCCGGGACAAAGATAAATGGAAGGAGCTTGTACATGTCCTATACCCTGCCAGGGGTGAAAGGATGGCCCGGGACAGAGATAAATGGAAGGAGCTTGTACGTGTCCTATACCCTGCCAGGGGTGAAAGGATGGCCCGGGACAGAGATAAATGGAAGGAGCTTGTACGTGTCCTATACCCTGCCAGGGGTGAAAGGATGGCCCGGGACAGAGATAAATGGAAGGAGCTTGTACGTGTCCTATACCCTGCCAGGGGTGAAAGGATGGCCCGGGACAGAGATAAATGGAAGGAGCTTGTACGTGTCCTATACCCTGCCAGGGGTGAAAGGCATTGATGATGATAATGTGCTTCTCTTTACTCAAACGTACAAAATCAAGCAAACTCGGTGGGTGGTTGACGGGTGCTCTGGTGTGGTTTGCTCCTTCTTTCTCATCCTTATCTCCCCTTCTTCTTTTTTTTATGTTTGTTACTCTCTTGTAACACCTCTAATCTTCTGGTGCTCATATGACCTTATGCAGTTGCGAGCGCCGTAAAACCTCTACTAAAACTAATACAAACTTGATTCTTCCGTTCCAGTCAGCTGCTGAAAGACCCACAGGTGTTGTTTGCCGGCTACAAGGTGCCTCACCCCCTCGAGCACAAGTTTGTGCTGCGCATCCAGACCACGCCCGATTACACCCCACAGGACGCTTTCACCAACACCATCACAGATCTCATCTCGGAGATTTCCCTCATGGAGGAGCGCTTTAAGGTATACCCCTTGCCATATATATATGTGTGAGGCGTGCTGACAAAATGAGTTACTTCTCGCAATCCAAGGATGGAGATATCGGCCGAAAATCAACACTGGGGTCAGATTTAAAGATTGCTAGTTGGTGCCATTTTGTTCAAGTCTACCGTGTCTTTTATTGTTCCATACTTACAAATTGCACAAACTCCACCTAAAAAGTTGATGTATTAATGTTCAAACGACTTATACTCGAGAGAAAACTCATTTTGTCTGCACACCTCACAAATATATATATACAGTCAAAACTGCGATGTTCTACAGTAGAACATGACAGTAACGGCACCCGCCATTTTTTGGGGGGGACTTGTAAGTCCCGCTGTAGCCATGTCCTGCTGTGTCTGATTCTTGAAACATTGTTTTCTCCTTTTCTTTCTTTTTGTCATGATATTTTGGGGGGGTTGGCGGGTGCTCTGGTCTGGTTTGCTTCTTCTTTCCACTCAAACGTCTATCGTCTTTATCTCCCCTCCTTCTTTTTTGTGTTTGTTAAACTCTTGTAACACCTCTAATTTTCGGCACCTATATGACCTTATTGTGTTGCAAGTGCCGTAAAACTCTTACTAAAACTAAAACTTTTTGTCATTATATATTGTGGGGGGTGGTGACAAAATGAGTTACTTCTCGGATTCAAGCCCTAAGGAAATAGATACAATCATACATCATGCTAATAGGTGAAGTGCAGTATAATCTGCTAATATCGACATGCTCTGGGAAATGGATTTGATGTCGATGTATTAAATAAAATTGTCGATAAATGAAATATAAAGCCAAAAGAGGAAAAAACAAGGGGAGGTCAGCGGTAAAAAGACAACACTATATTTTAAAGCCAGTTGTTTTCCTTGATTCTTACACAACTAACTACACAGTGAAACCTACAGTGCTGTAAACTCTCTGGTGAAACTAACAAGAGGCAGAGAGGAGGGGGGGGGGGGGGGGGGGGA